AAGGTGTGGTGATGCCTGGTTTCCAGCTGCTGAATTAATGCTGTCTTCAGCTTTAGGAAGGAATTAAGGATGTAGGGATGAATGTTTTTCTGTTAGGTTGCCCTGCACAAGTGCAGTTTCTAGGTAGATGAGTTTGAAGGGCCTTAGTGATTTTTCTGAAGGACAGCAGAGATCTGTAGATATGGGAGAAGTGTTACCCTCTGTAGGGAGGGAGGAGGCAAGGCTGAATGTCAATTTTTAATGCTTGCTCCTGTGAATTTCCATGTGAAAGGAGGCATTAGGAATTTTTTATATAGAATTTAATATTTCAAGCCCGAGATTAAGCATTCAGCATGAATATCCAGAGTTCATTTGAAAAGTAATCATTAATACAGCCCTGAACTGAGATAGCCTAGATGAACTCTTTCATCTAGTATTTATGAAGGATAGTTCAAAGCTTGCCTGGGTACCAAACAGAGACTTCAAGGAGATAACACTAGTGCATGATATTATCTTAAAAAAGGAAAATTTATATAAAGATAAATCTAGTCTAGTGAAAATAAGAAAATTTTAATGTGCCTATTTGTCTGTTGTGTTTTACTGAGAAACAACCAACCTGTTTTTCGAACTAATGTACTTATTTTTTTTAATTGCTAATTCTTTCCACTTATGTGGTTGAGCAGATTGATTAAAAAAGTGCTAAAAGGGAAAGATGGCATGCTCTACAGCCTCAGCAGCAGTATAAAATGGCACAGGAAAAGCTACACTGTCAGGCAGGAAACAACTAGAAGGGCTTTATGCAATGTTGCCGGATTTGCAGTACTCTGAAGGCTATGAACTTAAAATTTTAAGGACATTCTCAGCTGTCTGTGCTTTGTTATACATGAGGACAGAAGGATGATGTGAAGAAAATGCAGAGGAACCTTTCAGAGAGTGGTTTGTATTCAAGCCCTTGAATATGTATGTCCCTTCATCTGTATTCTGTGAGGGACGTGGGCATGTGTTTTGGGTGATTTGCTGCTGTGTGTACACTGATGCCGACTGCTGTGTCTACAGTTCAAAGAGCACGAGCAAACCAGATCTACATGATCATGTAGAATCTCAAACAATGTAGCATACTGTTGTTTATGTTATTTACTTAAGGAGCTGTCAGAAAGTTTTTCTTAAAAATCTTCTCTCCTTGGTCTTTTTTTTTTTTTCTTTTTTTTTTTTTTTTCAGCTTTCTGAACTCCTGTACTGTGTGGCTCATTCAGGTTGTAAACTGGAATAACACAAGATGCATTAGTTTGTCTCTTACTCCTTAATTCCAAATGGTATTGAACCCTCTGGACTTCATTTGATGTAGCATTTGCCTGGTGAAAAATTGAACAGTTGCTATAAAGCCATCTGGGACAATGTGGATGTTCACAGCAGAGGAATTGTAGTACCCTTTGGAATTGGAGCCTCCATGCTCAGGACATAGCAAGATCCAGGTCTTAGGAAGCATTGTTAGTATCTTAGAAGAACTGGAAAAGCTTTTCAATATTGTGTGCTTCTTTCTACACAAGTTGTAGAAATAACTCCTGCCTTTTGTGTGCCCTCTTCCTGTGCAGAGTCTGGTATGAAATAGCGCATTTTCTGATGTCTCAGCCGCTTCCATGGCTGATGTACTCTGTCCAGTTGACTCATCATTGTGTATGTTTTCTTGACTTCTAATTAAAACCTGTCCTAGTCTAATATTAGACCAACACTCCTTGTTATATCACCCTTCATTCTTAAGTAATTCATCCTGCAACCTCCTTACTCTGTATGACTAATGTCTTTTTCTCAAATATTCTTAGAACATTTTAAAATACCATCTATTTTATAAGCAGCACAGTAGCAATACCTCCCATTACAATTGCTCAACGCTTTCTGTCATAGCTCAGTGCTTTCTTTTCCTTAGGATTTTGATGAGACTTTAACCTTTGGCGGAATTTTCCATGCATTGGTCTTTGCCTCAGCCTGAAATTTCCACTTGAGACTGGGATTTTTTTGTTTGTTTGCTGAAAGTATAATCAGTATTTCATAGAAAAGGCACATCTAAATCAGCTTCTGTTAGTTTCTCTCACAGAAGAGACAGATTTATGTGCTTAGAGTTTGTTTTTTTTTTTAAAGGATCCCTAGGCAGTTGTTTTTTGGCTGAAAAATAGAAATGATTGACTATTAGCAGGAGTCTGAGCTTGGGATGGGGAATGATTAGCAAAGAGGAACAAGTCTGGGTAAGGAATGTGTCTCAATAAGAATGGAGAACTGCATTGATGAGCAGTGAGAAGGGACTGGTTGCTTAACTCATCTTTGGACATTCAAAAATTCTTCTTAAAAGCAAAAATTAATTTATCTGGCTTCATATTTTTTAATGAATGTTCTTCATGCTTGTGTACTAATAACCACCTGAAACTCATTTCCCTTATTATATGTAATTGGAAACATTTTACATTCATGTTTTACAGAAGCAGTTTACATTCTGCTAAGGCTTCTCTTTGGTTTTGCATGTGTAAGTGATTCTTTGCTGGCTTGTCCACTGAAAGAAAATAGAATCTGTGGATGCCAGGTGTTTTGTTATAGCTAAGCACTGTTGCTGTTTTAATCCTTCATACATGTTTTCAGTCTTCAGTTCCATTGGAGCAGTACTCTGGTGGGATGGTGCAAAGGTTCATTTTTGTTACGTGAGTGGCTGGTGTTTCTTGTTCGTGTCTGGGTGCAGAGGGTGCAGACAGAGCACCAGATTAATCTGAGGAAGGAGTTTCTTCCCCCCAAAAGGTTGAGTTGAGAGAAGCATTTGTTGCCTCTGTGTATGGAAGGTGCTTTAGACTGTGTGAGCATCTGGGTGTATATTATCAGTTCAAAGCTTGCCTTTTCAGAGGCCTTGCAGCTTGCTGATGTTTTTGCCTGTGGCACTTGATACTTTTGGCTTCTGAGAGCTGAAATGCTTTAATTCAACTATAGTCCTTGGGATCAATAAAGCAGTGTCTGGGTTGGGCTTGAGAGTCTGTGGTATATTAATGATCTAACTAGACATTAAAAATTCCTTTCTGGCTTTAGATTTCATAAAATTCTGTTTCAGTTCCTGTAGTTAATATAAAATAGAGCAGCCTGCCTATCCTTTCCCAGTCCACTAATAGGGTTCTGTAGAAGTGCAGTAACCTGGTCAGATGTAAAAGCCTGAAGCCTAGTCTATATTTAAATTTGTTATGTACATTTTGGCAGCTGCAAATGTTTTTAGCAGAGATATCTATAAATTGAAAGGTAAATATACTAACTTCAGAACAAGCATCTTTTTTAAACCTCAAACTGTCTTCCTAATCTAAGATACACTAGTTGTTCTCTTAATGAGATTTACTTTTATCCTTTAACATAACAAAATGTGGCTGCTATGTTAAAAGACCTCACTTGTATTGAATGTAGTATGTGACTGTTTTCAGCTTTTCCCTGAACTGAAAGGAAGCTGCAAAGGAAAGAAGCATTTTGCCCTTGAGAGAGAAGGACAACTAATTTTATCACTTAATTATTTTAGGAGAAGCATTATCAGTGAACTGAGAGAATGAATCTGAAAAACTTGCAGTGATTGGAGTGAAAGATACCCCTGCCAGCAGATTTCCAAGGAAAATGCCTATACTTCTCCTGTATATGAACTGAGGTTTCCACTTCATTTACAAAATGCATTAGCACCTTAAACTCCACAAACTAGCAGAGTCCATCTGTGTCCCTTTCAAAAAGTTTAACAGCACCCTAAGGAAAAGAGAGGTGTTCAGATCTCCAAGGGTTTGTATTTTGGTGTCTGTTTAGAAACCTCACAGCTGTCATCTTTGGGTGGTGTGACCGTACCCCCTGCACCTGACCCCTTTGTGGGGTGTGCATGTACTGACTGACAGCAGGGAGAGGTAGGTAGGTGTGTGTGTGTGCGTGCAAGCTGACTTGCTGGACTAGATGGTGTTTTCCTCAAATCCACATCTTTTGGCCTATGATGACTTGAGTTCAACTCCAGAGAGCAGTTTGAGGCTTGGCCAAAGTGTGTACATAACTCAAGGTCATTGCAGGTTTCTTTCTGGGCTGGAATGTGGGTTGATGCTTCTAGTTAAAACCAAGCGGAGGACTTTACCTTATGCTGCGTGTATATAACTTTTTTAATTGGCACCCAGAAGGAACAGCTTTTCATGACTTACCTGCAGAGGTCTAGTCACTTTATTAAGAAAATAAAGCTGTCACTTTGTAATGATTTTTTTTTTTTTTAAATTAAAGGGAAGCAAAGGTAAGAAAGATGTTTATGGATGTTATCCATACAGGAGAATGATGTTTTGGGTGTCAGTCCTTCAGCAGTGAACTTGGTATAACAACCCTTGGAGAGAAGGGTGAGCCATATAGTGCTAATTTCATTTAAAGTTACCTTTCCTTGGCCAATGTGGGATTCCTGTGAAAACAAACCAGTGCATTTCCAATACTTAATGACAGTTGTGCTGGTGTTCCTGACTAACCAGCTGTCTCCTGAGGACTACAGCTCTGCTAACAGTAGTGACAAAATCTAACTTCAGGAAAACACAACACTGTTAAATGCAGGTCATGCAATGAATTGTCTATGGCAAAGAATGGGAATAGAAAATAATTCTCTCTCCTGTAATTTTTTATGTGTCAGAATAAGCTGTTTTGTTTGTGCTTCCGTTAACCTAAAATATGTCCTTTGTGCAACCAAGGTGTATTTATTGTATGCAGAATACCCAGGTTATACAGCTTTACTGACATGGTTTATTTACAGCCCAGGCCACCATGCAGATGTTATTCTGCTAGAAAACAAATGAAGAATGAGTAGCTTCATAGAAGTATAACATAATAGCTTGAGCTAGTTTTTAATGTTTTTTCTTTTTTGTTCTGTTCCCAGAAATAAGTTTTCACCAGGCTTTTGAAGCTGTAGATAAGACGCACTAAAAAGTTCTGGTTTTGAAATGGCACCCACATGTTTCAGGAACTTGGTGAATAAATAATCTTAAAATGTGTTTTGTGTTTAGAAGCTGGCAAGGTGTTCACCTGGGGCAGAGTGCACTATGGGCAGCTTGGAAGGCACGTGGTGGTTCCGGATGGGCAGCAGAGCACAGCAGCTGAAGAGTGCTTCTTGGAGCTGTTGTGTAACACCCCTGTTTCAGTTCCTTGCCTAAATGGAGCATCTCAGGTAAAGAAGAAAATTACCATTTCCATCCCCCTGGCTTTCTTTTTTTTTTTTTTTTTTTTTTCTTTACATTAAAATAATCAGAACAGTTTCCTAATAGAACCCTTCCAAATACTGTGGCACAAGCCCTTGCTTGCACTTCCTGTAAGGTCAGAAATTAATAAGATTCAATTATTTTTTTTAAAAGGCTTTTAAATTCAGGAGTCTGAATTTTTTTCCATGGTGGAATCAGCTTTAGCAAAAGATGCCAAGTTCTCTAATATATCAATGTGTGCAGGTGTAAGCTGTGCTTGCAGTGCAGTTGAACAGAGTATGTGGGACTTTGCCCAGGTGCAGCACTACTTTTGTCTGAAACTCCAGACCCCACAACTGGTTGTCCCTCTGATCCAGGGGGAAGGCTTGCACAGCCATATAAACAGTTCTCCTGGCTTGTATTGCAGCTGAGAAGAGTGGAAATTCCCAGTACTGTGGGGGCAGGAACAAAAACTTGTGATGTGCTTGAGACATGTGGTTGATGGCTGATCCAGAACTTCTGCCCACTATGCTTACTCTTGATCTATTGTGCTCCTTGAGAAGTCTCCAATTTGAGTTGCAGGGTGAGTGAAGAAGGGGACATGTTCAGGAAAGCAGAGAAAGAACAGGCAGAAGGAGGGCTTTGTTTAAGGTGCAGCCTTGTTGGTTTAAAATCAGATTAATAATTTAAGTCCAGGTGCCACTCTCAGAGTTTAGTCATCCAGGGCATTAAACTTTAGCAAGGTATTAAAGAGAACCTGTGAAACTTCTGCCTTGTTCTAAAAAAGGCTGAAGAGTTTCAGTCAACCAACCCAAAAGTTCTCCAGCCACATAGCCCAAGTTGCAGAGGGCAAAGACAGGGACAAGGAGAGTGAAACACTACTTAACTCCCGGAGAAGATCAGGTTTGAGACCCTTTAAGGAACCCAAAGGTGCACAAGTCCATGGGACCTGATGTGATATATCCGTGGGTCCTGAGGGAACTGACAGAGCAACTGGGGCAGGCCACCATCCATCATACTTGAAAAACTGTGGCAGTTTGGTGATGTTCCCACTGGAAAAAGGGAAACATAACCCCAGTTTTAAAAAAGGGAAATGAGGATAGACCTAGGGAGCTACAGATTGGTCAGCCTCACTGACTCACTAGTCTGTGTGCCTGGCAAGATCATGGATCAGATCCTGGAAACTATGCTAAGGCACAAAGAAAATAGAGGTGATTTGTGACAGCCAATATGGCTTCACCACAAGTCTGACCACCAGCCTGACAAATCTGGTGGCTGTCTATGGTGGGGTTACAGAAATGGTGGATGAGGGAACAGCAACTGACATCATCAATGGACCTGTGCAAAGCATTTGACACTTTCCCACATAACATCCTGTCTTTAAATTGGAGAGACATGGGTCTGATGTGTGTATGACTCAGTGGATAAAAACTGGCTGGACCTTTGCAGTTACAGGGCTGAGGTCAGTGCCTCGATGTCCACCTGGAGACCAGGGGGCAGTGGTGTTCCTGAGGTGCTGGTGTTGGGATCCATGCTGTTTGTCAGTGACAAGGACTGTGAGATGGAGGGCATCCTAAGCAAGTCTGCCAGTGACACCAAGCTGTGCTGTGTGGATGACACGCTGGAGGGAAGGGATGCTGTCCTGAGGGACCCTGTCTGGGGCTCCAGAGCCCATGATGCTGCACTAATGTTTAGTCACTTTTAACTCCTCTGTGTCTCAGCTTTCTTACCCGTTTTGAAATGGGTGTCTCTCCTTTTTCTCATTAGTTTTGTATAGACAGCTCAATTTCTGAATCTACTTCACACAGAATTTGCTTCATATTTTTCATCTCTGCTGTGTGCAGTGTCTCAAGTATGTTGTTACATCGTTTGTCAGACAATGCAAAGCCAAGGCAGCTGCAGCTTTTACGCAGTGGAACTTACCCTTGGCAGGACAAGTGATCCATGAAAGTGAAGGGATATATTCAGATACGTTCCTTGAAAAGAAAGAGAAACAATAATCTCATCTTTATTCTGCTGCCCTCAGCGCTGTTCCTCTTTATAGACCTGTGAGAGACCTGATTGGAGTGATTAGCAATGGCAGTGTTCTGGAGCAGACATCATTCTTTGCAGAGATAACAGCACAAAGATGACTTAAGAGGATCATCTGCTAGGATCATCATAGCTAGGAGGAGCTGTGTTGATGAAAAAAGTAAAAACAGATAGTAAGGACCTAAATTGTTTCACTTCAAGGTTACAAAATAATGCCAAAGCTAGAATTTTTACTTGAAAATGCAATAAACTGCAGTATCTAGGCCATGTAGAGTGACCTGTTCTTTGTTAACACACAAGCTACATCTTTTTCCATTTCTTGTCATATGGAGACAGGATTTGCTTTGAGAGCTGAATTGAAAAGAATACAGAGAAGATGAGTTTTTTCCATGTTTACCTTGAATTAACAATTCCAATTTTTGTGTTTAATGCAGAGAGACAGTTTAACAGTTGAGGATTATGACTGATGATTTTTATTCATGGTCTATTTTTATAAATCACTTTTAATGATTCAACTGAATTTTTGGCAAAGCTGTGGTCTGCTGATTGCCTCTGCAGTTCAGTTAATATTGTTAAAGCCAAAGTGGAGAAACTAATCTAAGGATTAGAGGACAGTATAAAAGACACATGAGTTTAGCTCAAGGACAGCGCAGTAGATTTAACCTCCTGTGTTGCTCCTTGTCTCCATGCCCATGGCTTGCCTACTTTCTTCACCAAAGACCAGGGATTCTCCTTTCTTTGAACTGACACTGTTATAATGTCTATGTCTGCCACTTCAAAACTGATTTTTGAAGTGTTGCGAGTGACCTATTCCATTGTGAGTTTGACTTCAACTGAAAACACTGACCTTGAGAAATAAGAGCACTTTTTTCCTTTAAACTGAAGCAAAGGAGGAACAAAAGCCTGAGTTTTAGATAATTATCCACTAATCTGAGTGTGTCTTCCTGGCAGGTTTAAAGTGTGGAGGTTCCTGATGTTGAATGTTTTAAGTTCTTGCATTTTACCACTACAGGTCTATTTGCTGTTTTCTTCTGTGTGCTTTGGTGCCTAATCAACATGGAACAGGCCATGGCACTGAGAAGTTGTTGTGTGAAGCATTTTGCAGGCGGTGCTCTTGTGTTGTGGGGCGTCCTTGATGGGACCTCTTCAGAACATCTGACTCATCTGATGCGCATTCATCCACCGCTCTTCAGATGAAAGGACAATTAAATACAAATGGCCCGAAATATGATGAGTCTCTGTATTTAGCAAATGCTACAAAGATCTGGTTTAATGTTTCCTCCTTGTCAAAATGCTTTTTCAGTCTGTTTGATATTTTTGGCTTTAATAGCTATCGTTCTACTGTTTGTGGTATGTTCAGCATGTCATTCACATTGCAGCAAACATTTGCTGCAGCAATAAACAAGTGAGAAGCATCTGTGCAGTGCTGAATATTTCTTGCTAAGCTGGATGGAAGGAAGGGCTGCAGTTATTTTGGGCATGCATGTCTTCACATGGAGCCATGTTTTCATCATGTCCTTTTCTATTCAAAGGAAACTCTGCTAGATCACAGTTTTCTGATGAGGGATCTCTAAAATTTCAGTTAGGAAATTAAAAAATAACCATCACTCAACTTGAATCTTGATGATGGATGTAGGGACCAGTTGTGTCAGGGAATGAAAATAACTGATAGCCTTGTGACAACGTGTTTATCTTGATCCATGGTCCATGGTTCCAATGTGTATGTTCATCCTGTGCAATACTTATTGCTTTGGATCCTCTATGGTTCCTTTCTTTCAGGGAATGACATCATACATTCTCATGGCACTTTGCAGTCAAAGTTTATTGCTGTAGTTTTCAGTGCAGTTGCAGTAAGATGCCATTTTTGTTTAAGTGCTTGAAAGGTAGCTTTGGTTTTAGCATATTCTTGTTTTTCTTCCTTTCCCTGTTCATTTTGCAAGCTATTAAGCAGCTGCCTACAAGAAAAATCTAAGATATTTGTATGATGATAGTTAATTGTTTATAAAACTGATTAATGTATACCCATTATTACCTTAACACATGGTCACAATAATGTTGAAAATGGAACCTTTTGGTTTTAAAAAAAATGACAATAGTTTTTGTCTTACCAGGGAAATCTGTTAGAGGCCTCTTTTTAAGCAAACCTATAGTTGAGGCTTTAAGGGGTATCAAAAGAAATAACCTAATATTATTATATATCATCTCTATGCTCTTTGTGTGGCTTTTAAATACTTATTTGTTTGATTGGCTACTGTGTTTTTATTCTGAATGTTCAGAATGAGAGGTTTGTATTTTTGTGGAAGAAAAACAAGTTGAACTTTCCTAAACCAGATTTTACTGCTCAAAGTTGGAGAATATGTGTGAAGTAACTGATCAAATAAGCTGCCTGAAAAAAACAACCCACTTTGGGTGTTAGGGAAGGAGGTAAATGAAAAAAAAAAAAAAAAAGAAGTTCAAGTGTTGTGTAGTTTTGTGTAGCTTCTCACTTGCTAAGCAAGTGATACTTTGGTGTGTGTTGTGAGTTTTTTGGTTTGTTGATTTTTTTCCCCCCCATTATGAACTTGTGTATTTATGAGTTGGTCTTGATCCATGTCTTTTGAGAAATGGCATTGTTGAATTTTTCTTGATTGATTTTGTTATGCTGTTTTAGAGATGCAGTGATGAAAATTTTAATATAGAGATGGTCCCTTTAATATTCTTGCATCGAGTTCTTGGCTTATCAATTAATTTTAAGTGACAATAAAAGAAAATAAAGACCACAGAGAAGTGGATTCCAAGTACAGCTCCCTGTGTGAGTGACAAATTGCAATTAAGAATGAAAATAAGAGACAAAATTGTTGAAATTATTATTAGGGGGGAAAACCCCAAACAGGATATAACAGAAGATTGAAACTGCAGTCTGCATACAAATGCAGCAAGTCTGTGTTCGATTAGGTGTGTTTGTGTGCTCTGCATGCCC